GACCCTTTCCCCATTTCCTGTGCCCCTTTCCTTTCCTTCCCCCCTGTCCCTTCCCCCTTCCTTTTCCCTGTCGCTACCCCCTTACCTCTTCCTTTTCCCTGTCCCTTCCTTTTCCACCCCCATTTCCTTCTACCCCCTTCCCTGTCCTCTCCCTCCCTGACCACATTAGATTAGTAGTATACTTTTTGTATATAATTATGTCTATAGTTATCAATATGATATTCTATGCTCAAATATCAGCTTTGTATGAACTTCTAAGGTGGCTTAAGGTCTGACTTCATAAAATATTGATAGAAAGTGGTTACTCCAGTAGGAATCCCATCTCTGAAACATTGTATTCACTTTGTTTAAGTTCAATTGGAGTGCAGTAGGAGTTCAGTAGGAGTTCAGTAGGAGTCCAGTAGGAGTCCAGTAGGAGTCCAGTAGGGGTCCAGTAGGAGGGGAATGTGAAAATGCTTTTTTGGAAAGAATGTTGAAATCCAGTAGGAAGAGGTGGAGGAGTGATAAGTATTGAACCATTCCATGGAATCCATCTGGGGGAAGTATGGAATCCATCAGCCATTCCATGGACTCCATCAACCATTCCATGGATTCCATCTGGGGGAAGTATGGATTCCATCTAGTCCATATGGAATAACCCTGGGAGGGTAAAGTATTGGTCCAGGACCTTTACATCGTCAGGACTTTCAGGTTCAAATCCAATGTTATAGTTAGTTAAACCAGGAGGTTTATTTCCATTTGATTTAACAGTGTTCTGCCAGTACTATGTATCGGATATACTAAGTCTACCTATGCATCACAGCAGTCAATTGACCAACCTTCCTAATTAGGAAGGTAGCCTTGCTGAGCTCCCTAGAGCCAGCCTTGGTGCTCACTGATTCCCACGGCTTGCTCACTGTTTTCAGGGTCCAAAAGCACACTTTCCAAATGTGGTTGTTTTCAGGGTCCAGGGCGCATTGCCAAATATGGAAATGTGTGCTTATCTAAAAGAAAAATAACAATAAAATAGCAGAAAAATAAGAAAAAATGGGGGATGGTGGTTATGATGGTAGGTTGTTTTCACGGTCCAGGGGATGTCCAAATATGGTAATCTATCCAAACATGGCCAGAAAATACCCCGAAAAATCAGGAAAAATTGGGGGATGGGGTGATGATGTTAGGTTGTTTTCAGGGTCCAGGGGCTATGTAAGTGTCTGCTTTTTGAGACTACAAAAGTTTGTAGGGTGTGTGCTTTTTCACTACAAAAGTTTGTAGTGTCCTTGACTATGTGTAGGTTATTAATACAAACTTTTGTAGTCTACTGCAACATACCCCAGCCATTTCCTCATCAAATATGTGCCATGAATGGGATGGATGGGTTAGGCTGACTTTGGATGACCTTTTAACCCTAACTCTAACTTTATAGTCTAAGTCCAAGGTTTTTAGTCTAAGTCTGACTATTGTAGTTTGTCGGTAAACGTTGTAGTCTAAGTCTGACTTTTGTAGTCTTTTGTAGTCTATCAGTAAACTTTGTAGTCTATGTCTCACTTTTTGTGT